ATCATGTGACTGGCTGTTGGCCTTTGGCATCCCCAGGAAATGATGAAGCAGACACATTGGCCCAGGTGTGCTGCCTAGAAGGAAAGCCTGCCTCTGATGTGGCCCAATGGTTACATCAGTGTTTGTTGCACGTGGGGCAAAAGACAATGTGGGCTGTAGCCTGTCCATGGGGCTTGCTCTTGACCTTTGAAGACATTAGCAGATCTTGGAAGGAGTGCCTAGTGTGTTTCTTGTGGGACTTACACCAAGTCCCACAGCAACATTGGACAATAGAGGCCGGTACCCATTGTTAGATGGCAGATAGACTACATTGGGCCTCTCCCCATATCAGAAGGATATCAGTGGGCCATGACTTGTGTGGACATGGATACTGGACTATTGGTTGCTTTTTCTGCATGTTGTGCAGATCAGCAAACCAAGAGTGGCCTATAGTGTCTCTTTGCAGTCTATGGCTGGCCACAGGTGATTGAGAGCTACCAAGGCACCCACTTTACTGGACATGAGTTATAAGGATGGATGGGTGCAGCAATTAGGAATAAATTGGAAATTTTAAGTACCATATATCCCTACTGGGGCAGGCATGATAGAGAGGTACAATGGTTTGCTAAAATCTGGCCCAAAGTCAGACACCAATAGTCTATGGGGCTGGTCAGTTTGCCTATGGACAGCGCTACAGCATTTGAATGAGAAGCCCCATAAAGGAGCTTTGAGCCCTGTGGCTGTGCTAACACACATGGCTGCCTCTCCTATACAACTGTGTATGTTCAAACCAAAGAAGAGTTATTGAAGCCAGGATATGGTCAGCAGAGCAACATCCTGATGCTAGCTCCAACTGTGGTAAACCCTGGAGACTCTGTTGAATGGACATGGACCTGGACATTTTGACACATGGACCAGGGATGGCTGGCCCTTCTGGCACCATTGGGAGAAGGCCTGGAAGCTGGCCTTCTGTGTATTCCTGGAGTAACAGCAGTGTGGCTCCCAAAGGTACCCAAAACATCCAGGAGGTAAGATCATCTTTTGGGGAAGTTTTTAAAAAATCTTTATGGCCAGTGCATGTACCTCCTGTAGCCCTATATATTGACCCATCTGTAACTCCCACAGGGAGGGGGGTGAAAGTCTGTTATACGAGACCAGGACGAAATCCCATTCCTGCCACTGTCCTGTCAAAGGACCACTCTCTTTTATGTATCCTACATGATGGACAAAATTTGCCCATGCTGGTGTCATTAAAACATGTATCTTATCGCCCCTATTTTCTTCTACAGTCCTTGTGTCCTGGATGCACCCCCTGGCTGCAGCTGCCACATAATTGCTCTGAACCCTTTACCTCTTCAGGTATTGCCTGCCTATGGAATGTGTGAGCTACAGACTTCACCTGCACAGGACTTTGAACCTAGCTGAATCTTCTGGCTTGAGGATTATTTTATTGCTGTTGCTATTGTAGGTCATTAGTCTGGTCACAGTGTTTCAGTTTTCTTGCCCAGGGACCATGGGGGAGGGTCATTCATCCCCGTATCAATGGGTAATTACCTGAGCGATGTAGGGCTTACCTGTTACCTTAGAGGTTGGGCGGAGGTCTTGTTTGCTTTTGCTGGAGCAGGAAAGAGATGGACCTGGACTGCAGTTTGTAAGCAAAAAACGGGTTTGAAACTTTCTTTCTCCCTTTGACTGATTTTGGTTTTAGAGGTATTTTGTCCCCGGATTTCCTCTCCCAAATTACAGTTGGGCACAGGGAAACCTAGGGGGATTTGTGCCGTGGGAACAACAGGGAGACTTTCTATGTAAAGGAAGGTGAATATTTATCAAGCAGGGATATGTATCAAAGGCAACAGGTGGGGACTTTTGGAGTCTGGGCTTGCTCTACTTTCATGTTGGGCATGGGAGGTTTGGATTTATTTGGTTTTCATTGGAATTTCCATTGCATGGGAGGAGTGATTTTCAGTTTATGAGTGTATATTTTGGGTGAAGTTGGTGTCAACTGTCCACGTTGGAAACAGCTGGTTTCAGCTGGTCTATTATCTATATTCTCACTCCCTGCATTCTGGAAAAAGCCTACATGGAATGTGTAGAATGTAGGCATCTAGCTGAATGAATGTGCATACTAGCTGAAGTCCCCACCTGCTTCCCTGCTCATATCTGCCTATCTATTGTTAACACTATCAATAATTTTTTAAGTGCCTAAGAAGCATTTTCCTAGCTGATCCCAAAGTATTACACAGAGATTACCAGATGCTGGGAAGAGAACACTTCCAAAGAGGTGGGAGGACAATGGATTTTAAGTGGAGTGCCATCTACTTTCTGGTGAAGATGGACCAGGGTATTAGGGATAGATAGTCCTGCTGGAGAGCTGGCTTTTTTGGCCATTTATCATCAGTAATGCTTTTTATATACTTATTAGGTTGCCATTAGATCGCCATAAAGCAAGAATTTGGACTATTTCATTTTCTTGTGATAGTGTAACACTGGAATGGAACAGAAAATGGAATTATCTTAGTCCTTTATTTTGCACTGTCATGAGAAATATTACACACTTCCTTTGTTGTAAAATATTTGTTAAGGAGTAGAGAATTTTACCTCGTGTGATATTGTAATTTATAAACATGGAATACGTATTTGGTCCTAATTCTGTTTCTGGCACACAGCTCCTAAAACCCTCAGATTTCCTGTGATGAAAGCACTAAATCTTTCGTTATGTTAATGGTGTCTTGTCCATACCTCTAAGGATGGGGACCTTGTCCATACTTCTAGGATGCCAGGTGACCCTATCATGTGATTAGAGGACTGGAACTTTCACCCTACCCCTAGCCTCTTGGGGAGTGGGCGGGGAGGGCAGAAAGGCTGGAGGTTGAGTTCAATCACGAGTGGCCAGTGATTTACTCAATCATGCCTATATAATGAATCCTCTGTAAAAACCCGAACGGATGTGGTTCAGAGAGCTTCCAGGTTGGTGAAATGTGGATTTTGGGAGAATCTTTCCAGAGAGAACATGGAAGCCTCCCACCCTTTCCCCTACCTTGCCCTGTATATTTCTTCCATCTGGCTGTTCATGAGCTATATCCTTCTATAATAAACCAGTAATCTAGTAAATGAGTTCTGCTAGCCACTCTAGCAAATTAACCGAACCCAAGGAAGGGGTCAGAGGAATTCTATCTATAGCCAGTCAGAAGCACAGGCAAAAACTAATTTTCTATCGGTGCCTGAAGTTGGGGGTGGGCAGCGCAGTATGAGGACTGAGCAGCTGCCGTGTGACATGCCAATCCTGGATGACCAAGAGTTTCAGTTCTAACTGGTTACATAGGGGCTACTCACAAAGCCTAGGGTTAATGAGAAGGGATTTGGGTAAGGGGCCACAAAGAACCACTAATCCTGTGAAAAAAATACCAACTAGCATTTACAGTGATAGTGTCCATTAGATCTAGACAGAGAAGGGTTCAAATTACTAGGCTATGACCAGTAAGTAGGCGACTTAGATCTCCTGGAACTATTAAATTCCTTTTTGTAAAATACAGATACCATCTTCTTTTAGTATCTGAGAGATGGAGATAATGTGCATCACACAGCACGGTGCTCATTAGAGTACACACTCAGTATGTAATGGTTACTATAATCACAATGGCTCAGAAATACTATGGTTTTTTTTGTGGACCCATAAGGGTTTTCCAAGGTCCTCGCTAAGATTTCAGGGAGTGATTTTAATTTCTTCTTCCTTCCATTTTATCTACTGTAGCTTGGGCTACTGTAACAAATTGCCTATTACTGGATGCTTTAGACAACATTTACTTTGCACATTTCTGGAGGCTGGGAAGTCCAAGATCAAGGTGCCAATTAATTTCATTCTTGGTGAGGGCCATCTTCTTACTGTCTTCACACGGCAGAGGTCAGAGAGGGAGCAAGCTCTCACCTCTCTTCTTAAAAAGACATTAGTCTATCATGAGGACTCCACCCAATTTTCAAATACCATCACACTGGGGAGTAAGATTTTAACATATAAATTTGGTAAGACATTCAGTCTGTAACAACATACCGTACAGTCGGATAAAAGTGTAATATAAATCTAAGGCAAAACTTGGTATGACTTGTTTCAGTAGTTTTGCTTTTTTTACAGAACCAGAGGGTGAAAGGAGACAATGGTGATTGGTTTAAGAAAGGGTGATATTACCATTTCTTTAGTCCCCTATTTTCTTTCTTCGGTTAAGATCTGAAAGATAAACTGTTTACTGGAGCAAACTAACATTAAAAAGCAAGCCATTTCTCATTTTATCACTAATCAATTTATATTTGAATTGCCTAAATATCTACTTGGGAAACTGAAAAGCCATTGAGAAAAAAAGTTATCTTTTAACTGATCTGGATTTTATTACTGTTGGAAAAAAATACCATTTGAGCCAATATTTTTTAGTGAAATTTTCTTGGTAAGGTTTAGTGTTTTTCAGTTTTGTAAATACACATTTTTCATCTGTGAAGAAATGTGGATTATCTTTGTCCATACTACTGTTGACAGCCGTCTTTAAATAGAGAACTATAGAATTAATGTTTAAAGTTTTGATGGGTATATTCTGATGCAACTTGCTTTCACTCTTCTGTGCAACTGACAGCTCAGGTCTACAAGTTTCCAAAAAAGTTTTAGGGGAATTCAGAAAGACAAGAAATTTCTGCAAACTGGCAAAAACAAAATGAGTGTATTTGCACAGTTGACTTTTTGTTAACATAAACTTTCCCAAAGGCAATTTTGAGTAGATTCTTTCACAAAAGAATCCTATTTTGAAATTCTAAGAATTTGCATTTTGGATATATCAAGTTGTTTTGATTCTATATTTATAGTCTATTGGAAAAGAATCCCTAACCACATATATTTTAAATAAACAATATATATAGAGGCATTAAAAGGCCAAATTACCAAACCTTAATTTCATTTTACTCAAAAAAACTCAGTCTTAGATTTTGTAAGGTAGAATAAAGCCTTAAAATTCTTATTCTTTAAGGAATTCAAAAGACAATTACTTGATGTGCATAGTTTATTTGGTACATCTATCAATTTCTACAATACATCTGACCAGAAACAGTTCACATAGTGCCCACCTGCATTCTGTATCTGAAATGATTTATTCAATATATTTTTCTAGGCTTGAAAAGAGTCAAGATTTCACAGTATCAGTGAAAACTGTTTTATCATGAAGTAAATTTAATGCTTTAGTATTTCATCCTTTTTCTATCAGAAAACAGCAAAATTACATCGTTAGATGTATTATTTACAATGAAAACTTGGAAGACTCAACAAAGTATTAGTTTATCAACAGACCTAAGAAACCCCCCACACCTCCTTTCAGGGTCCTCTCCTTTGAAATGAAATTTCAAATCAAACTTTATATACTTTTAAGCACTAGCTTGACAATTTAAAGCTTTCCTTCAGTTTTATAAAATATTCCTGCTTTGAAAGATGAAGTGAATTTAAGAATATGAATGTAATTAAATAATTAAATCACTGGCATGGATAATTTTTATTGCAACAGTCGCAATGTTTTGCAACTATATTCACTTCTTTGAATAAATTTGCTGGTAAGCTTCAAACAAAATGTTTACCTTCTGCCTTGAAAAATTCCATTAAAAAATCATTTTTATAACTATACAACTATATTTTCATTAATAGTGTTTAAATACACAACTTCTCCCTTGCATATCATGTTAGATAAAGTCTAGCTTAATGTTATACAAAACAATAAAAAACCTTAAAAACTACCACAAAATTACTGATGTTAACAGTCATTTATGTATAAGAGTACCCAGATTATCCTGTTAATGGGTGCTTAAAATACCAATATACAATCAGGTTTTAAAAACTTAATAGTTAAATTTCCATTCATTATGTAAAACTGAAAGCTGTAGAAGATCCTTTGAGTTCTGTACTTGGAAACACTAACGCTATTAAGGCATTATTTAATGAACAGACCTTATGGAAAGTAACTAGCATGCCTGTGTTGGAGAGCTGGTCATATTTAAGGCAGTCAAAGTTTTTTTTTTCCTCTCACTTTAAGGCCCTACTTTTATTTTGTGCTGACATTATTCTGTGTAATTTAAATATTCATCAAATGGTCAACTATGAAAATCAAATCTTTAAATAAAGCAGATGGACAGTTTAGAAATAGATTAGAATACCTCTCCCCCAACCAATCATTTAAAAAAGTTGATTTCATAAATTTCATCCCTTTGGAGAAATTAGAAGCTGGCAAAAAAGGAAAAAACTGTATTTCAAATGTATTACAAAAATAATGTCTAGTCATACCATACATTATATGTAGTTCATACTTGGAATAATAGGACAACGAAAACATTTATTTCTTGGTTACTATTCATTATGTAGTTATTTTAATTTGGTAGTGAATGGACTATAAACAAGTTTACACTGCAAATAAGGTCTAACAAGTAATTTGAACAGGAGTTTCAATACAATGTTTGTATTGATACAATATTCATTCCATCAGTTATATGTGGTAATGATATATAAAACAGTAAGGTTTTAACCTCATTTACAACTTTTAACAATCCAAGTGTTCACTAAGTGAAATCAGCAGAAATCCAGCGTATTATTTCTTTTATTCACAGATTTCTGTTAACTTCTTAAAGCACAGAAATTTAAATATATTTAAAAATTAAATCACTTGTGTTCTTAATATGATGTGTGGCAGTGTTAAACTAAATAGAAGCAAAGGAAAAATCTCTAGGCTCAAAAACAATTTTTGTATATTTTCATTGTATTTACAGAATTCATAATCAATGAAAACAATCTCAATTTCAGTAATAGAATTTTGCTACAGAAATCCTGTTTCTACCAATTTCCAATATAATTTGGTATTTTCAGAGTTTAGGAAAAATATGTCACTTAAAATTTTATTCAAACAGTATGCTTAACTGTATTATTTTCTATGTGAAAAATATCTGCACAGGATTTATAAATTAATTTCACAATTTTTCAAAACACATAAAAAACTCATCAACTAAATAAATACTGAGTGTGAGAATACAATTTACTTGCAAGATCTTTTATGTATAAGCCATGTGTATATAAGCTCAGTGAAGGTCTGAGGCAGACCAAAGGTTTGACAGTGGCCTTTACATTTATGGAAGTAAGAGCACTGAGACATGCTATTTTCTCAAGACTATTCATTCATTATTTTTTCGAAGTGCATTTTATAAGTGTGAGTTACAACTAAAATTGGAAACAAAGGCTGAATAATTGCTTACTTAAAGGCCACACATCTCTGCAAACTTTAATGCAAAAGGTATAAACATAAATTAGGGGAGATACTGTATCAATCCAATTACTGTTCAAAGAGGCCTTCTCATTTGAAAAAATACAATCTTAAATTTATATGGAACAAAAAGCAATATGCAAGATTCATCTCAAATCCCAATATAGGTGACTTCTCTGTCATGCATTTTACTACCCAGGTAGAGCATAATTAGAAAAAAAAGGCAAAAATGTCAGAAGGAATTTTTTTAAAAATGGTATGAAAGTTATGAAAGTAATCTTCCAACAAATATGACATTAGGAAGCAGAGTACTAAAAAAAATCTGTACAGAAAAATACAACTGATTTCATAGCTTGTTTTTTCTTTCTCCTTGTGCATGTTTACATTGAGCCTATATGACATTTCTGTAGAGGGGATACAGCCTTAACAAATTACCCCAAATCTGTGGTACACAAGACTAGATTTTTTCATTTTTTGTAACTTATAGTAAGGACATCAGTTAAAAAAGAAATGTGTACTTGTGGGTTTAACATCTTTAGGTCAAAATTAAACTAACTCCCCTAAGTGGTCATAGGATTTCCTGTATTTGTTTAGACATAGATTTACCATGTTTTTACAAATGTTTTGTCAATTGTCAGATCCTCAATTTTACTCAGGATTTCTGCCTTCAATTTCAAATATAATTTCATAGTTTTCGCAAAAATCTCAGAACACGAGGGGAAAAAAGCCTGACAAAATGACATTATTTGTGGATTTACCTGTTATTTTAAAAGGTTAAGCAAATTTTTGTGAATTGCATCTTCTGATTAAGATATATGAGTTTGTTTTTCTAGGTCTATCCACAGGGATCTTAGACTTGAAATATAGACTTTCTCTTCATCAGAAAATAGTGACTTCTCAGTCAACATTTACTTTTACTGTAAAAGTTTTTCCTACCACATTTCCCCACCACAATAGAAGTGTTTCAAAGAATTATTGTACCTACTGAGCTACTTTTCTAAAATACTGTATCCTTCAAAACATATATCCTATTAAAATTGCTTTTAACTAAAAAAAAGTTCTACTTTGTATTGCAAGCCCTCCTTCCAATCTAAACTTTTTTAGATATTAAATCGATTCTTCTATGACCCAAGCATTAGACATGCTACTTTTTAAAGATGGCAAAATTCAATCACATGGTTATTACACAGGCTGTCTACACACAGCAAGTTAAATAAAGCAAAAGAGCTTCCAGAGGGAAAACAACAAATACCATTCATTATCATCTTCCTAATATTCCCATAAAACAGTTACAAGCTAATATACAACAATGTTAATTAATGGAATATCTAAGAAATTTCAACAAGGAAGGTAAATTATAAATTAGTTTTTGTTTTACGAATTACGACTATATCCTGAAAATATGTACTTTCTAGGAAATAAAGTTTATTTTTCTTAGAATTGTTCTTAATAGCAACACTTCTCTAAGTATTAAGGTAGTAGTAATCCTGTAAGTAACTCAGAAAATAAAATTTTTTCATTGGAGGGCATTTTATTCATAATGAGGTAAAGTTTTAACATTTTTTCTATAGCACTATTATACAGCAACACAGGTTACTAATTGTGCTTCAGAATACAACTACAGAACTATACATGTTCACAAATTTCTGTTTTTCTAGTCCTACTAAAGCAATCATGCATATGCATTTATTTCCTAATACCTAAAAAGACAAAAGTCTTGAATAATTCTATCTTATCTCCTCCTCTTGTGAGTCAATGTCTTAACTAAATTTTGTGTAAAAAGGAATACTGGAAGGAATGAAGAGACCAAGATTTCTAGAACTAGTGCTCCAAAGTCACACTGTTTTGGACCTTGTATCCTTAACCTAAATTTACAAGTTACCTTTTAAATTTCTAAGGTTTCTTCTAGCTTTAAAAGTCCATGATTTAAAAAAAATGTTAGTGCCTGTGGTGGCTCCTTTTAGATTTTATTTCTTAAATTCTAGCCTAATACATTTATAATTAGATCTACGTAAGTACTGAAAACAGTCACATCTATTCATACTTGTCTGATGGATGTAATATTAGCTCATGAATATATGTCTAAAAGCACTACAGAAATAGTGTATAACTCAAGGAAATAAACTCATATTACATTACACTTAACATTTCTATTAGGAATAAAAAGTTCAGATCATAATTTTTAAGATCTTGGTTTTACTTAAAGAATTCAACAACTCTTTACATAATTCTATTAGCTCTTGAAACTTTAAATTGAATCTAAACATAGTATTTAAATGTATCGTAAGTAGCTAACACATTAAATCCAATGCTTGAGAGAGGGTTTAAAAATAAAATCAGATGCAATGTATTTAGGCTGGGGGGTGTCGGTGCTACTAGTTCTGCTCACCAAAAAATCTCAGGTAAATCACAAGATTTACAAATTACTACCAGTTGCCTTGAAGAAATGACTACAGATGAGAGTCAGCATTAATATGTCAAATAACTCTGAAGGAAACATTTCCTTGTCAGTCTCAGAGCCCAAATTTCCCATTAAACAGAAGAAAATATCCTAAAAAATTCTAACACTACTAAAGTTCCCCTTCCCCTAAAACATAAAATCTCTAAGTCCCAAACATGCAAAGACTGTGATTTACATTTACTAGTTTGACTTTCTTTGTAACAGTGAGAATGGCTTTAAATCCCCAGTGAAGCCTTAATTACTATTTAAAGAACAATACATAAAAATTGAAGTTTTATGTGTAGGCTATGTCAGACAACCATAATTGCAAGCAAAGATACTGGCATTTAAACATTTTAAACTTCCCACCAAGAAAGGGATGTTTAGTCAAGAAAATAACGTACTTTAATGACAGGGACTTTAGTTAGAGGTACACAAAATGAAAAAAAAAAAAATCTTTTACAGACTAGTTAGTGGTAATTTGCTACTCAAAAATCGCCTTTCAAACCTGAAAGACTTAGCTTGCTTTTATTATTTTCTTACACGATCAAAAAGAATGTTTTGCCACGAAAGAATAATGGACAAAGAAACAGGAGACCACTGACATGTTTACAATTAGAAAATATCTAAAACCCATTTATAATTGGCTTAAAAATAGTTCAAAGTAATTAGAATATTTATTTTAAAGGAAAAAATTAGATCTCGGTTATAGTTGATTTAATTGTCTTACTTTTAGATTATGAGTGGGGATGTTAAATGCTTAAAACAGTTGCTTTCACTTAAGAGTATGAAACACAGAAAGTGTGATTACATGTGGCTATGTTACAGTTCATGAGAAACCATCAAGTCATGCCCCCAACTCACGGCAATAAAATACAGCAAAACAAAAAGAGAACTAAATAAGACTTTCTCAGCTGTCACAAACTTTAGAGTTGCTTTTCAGGGGTTTCCATTATGTTTCTGGCTAATAATAATAATTCTACAATTGTAAATAAAACAACTGAAACAACATCTTTTTTACTGAATAAGAAAGCTACTATTTATATGATTTTAGAAAACTCTTAAAGGAGTCTTTAAAAACTCATTTACAATTTAATCAAATGTCAAAAAAAATTTTTTAAACCCCCTCAGTATAAAAGTTTGCAAATGAGTTTCATATTCCATCACAGTTACATGGTCCAGTGCATTTCAGAGTAATTAACATATTATCAAAGCTATCCTTTCCCAATGAAAACATTTTGAGAATACTTTACGTGCCTCTCAAACAAGTGACATGGTATGATACTGAACTACTTACTTATTTTACAATGTCCATCAATAAGAAGTTCTCTATTAGACAGAGAAAGCCACAGAGTATTCTGAAGTGATTTCCCAAAAGCTAGCTTAGTAGTTAGAAAGGACTTTGGGCTCATCTTGTTTTTCTTTCCTTTTTGTTTTTGGGTAAGGTAAACTTTCCATTATGCACATATTACATTCTCATCTTACCATCTTTCACTGGATTACAATTAGCTGGGAATAGCTGCGTATTTTCTGTGAGATCACTGATGTCATGGACCTCTTAGATCATGCTGGTGCTTATGGTTAAATCACATCTAATGTGAAATTTCGAATTACATCCAGAGCTCCAGTGTCAAAGCCGCACATATCCAACATGCCCCTATCATCTGGGTCCGCAATAGTAAAACCATTTGATGTCATTCCACAAACAATCAATTTAGCTGGAATACCCATTTTCTGTAGGAAAAGATCAAAATACACATTAAAAAAATGGTATGTAAGCAAAAAGCAAATAACCTCTAAAATTAAAATACTTTAAATTCTATTACAGCTTTTCATAAGAAGTCAATATTTCTCTTCATAAAACTTGTCAATTTTTTAGGGCCAGACTAGATGACCATCAGAATAGAAAATAAAACTGTTTAAACAACCTGCCTGAAGTTCCTTCTCCTCTGTTATATATTACTACTTGTTCAACAGTCTGAAGAATATATTCCTGTGCAGTCTAAGGACTTTACTTATGAAGCCTTATGATGCCAGGGTATTCAGGGGCATCAAGTATTTTTACCAACATATCAAACACTGGGGTAGTGTGTACATGTAAATATAAGGAAATATTTCCGAGATTATAAACTTTTACTCTATGACTTTATTATGTACAATATACACACAGCACATGTAGAACTTTTTCTCTACAGCTATGATTTAAAGTTAAAATAATTGAATTTTTGAGGAAAAACAACCATCACTGAGTATGCACTATGTCAGACACCATAATGAGCTTTCAGTAATTTATTTAATGTAACTGTTTAAAAATCCTAAAAGCTAAGTAGTACTATTAACTACTAAGACATGTATCATAGTAGTGAGATACTATTATGAACTACTTTACTTAAATAATTTGCTCAGGCCCACAGTCAGTAAAAGAGAAAGACCGAAATTCAGAGCCTAGACAGTTTTGACTCTGAATTATCATCTTACTTGTTCTTACACTTAAGCATAGATCAGAATCCTCAGAAGTGCTTGTTAAAACATCGCCCCACCACCCAGAGTTTTTATATTAGCAGGTTTCCCATGGGGTCCAGAAATTTGAATTTCTAACAAGGTCTCAGGGATGCTAAGGGTGCTGGTAGGGAAACCACACTTTGAGAGCCACTGTTCTTCAAGTTCTACTTCTAGTTACATTAGTCACAATTCAAGTGCTCAACAGGCCCACACGACTGTAGCTAACATGTTGTTGGATAGTGTGGATATAGAATATTTCCATCATTTCAGAAGGCTCAACTGGAGAGTACTGATTAGGACACAGAAATATCCATAAAATTTAAAACACAGATCATAGCTTAAAGTTTATGTAGTCCTTTAACAAGGCTCACAAGTCATACTTTAATTTTTTAAGCATACTGTACTATTAAAAAATTTATAGTAGAGGTAAAATAAATATTTTGATTATTACCAAAAATACTGTTTTGCAAAGTCTATTCTCAGTAATGGATAGCATTGGAAGTGGCTGAAAAAAATTTTATATATAGCCAATACTTTCATATTTCAAATCTTGCTGAGTCAAGAACTGGCACTCTATTCCTATACTAAGGTATAGAACTACCTTCAGATACTTTTTTTGAAAAACATAGTGAATGAGAATTCATATTATTTGGTGCGAGACAATATTAGAACTTGTTTTACCTTTCGATACTCTCTCAAAGCAACGACAGGATGGACACTTCCAGCAAAGGTCTCATTATCAGTGAATATAATGAAGACATCAGCAGCTGTATTTGTCTTTTGAGCCCATATCACTGGAAGGGAGCAGTCAGTTCCACCTGCTGGGATCTAACTCAGAACAAAAACATTACTAAGAATAAAAGGAAGTGTCCCACTTTCCATATTGAGATGTCTGAAATACATACTATTTTTTACACTATCATTTTGTTTAGAGCCAATGATATATAGGCCTTCCCAAACCTGCATTTATTTTTTTGATTTTGTGCTCAGAGAAACTGAGATGAAACAATCTGTTCTCATAAATTAGTATCAGGCATACATCAATATTGAATTATTAGATAATACATGTTAATGTAGTAAAATAATTTCTTACCTGATTCATAGCCATTAAAACTTGTTGTAAGGTCATATCTATAGTCACTGGACATGGTACCATTTCATCTGAGAAGGCAACTATATAAGAATCTTTTTCTGTTCTTCTGACAACCTAAAAAATTTAATGGTAGTAATTTTCAGTAGACTTTGGGGAAACAAATACAGTATCTTGAAATTCATAAAACTTTATCTTTAAAAGAAATACTATATGATGCTTATTTTATTTCTAAACTTACTGTGTTTCGGAACTTCACAGTACCCACAGTATAGCTTTCAAAGTATTTCCACAAACTATTACAAAGTAACTGGTTTTCACAACAGTCCTATGTTCTTCTAATTTTATAAAATAAAGAATAAAGCCAGAGAAGAGAAGCTAGGAAGTTCCCCTATGATTCATTTACTTGCTGTTCAGTGACAGATTCAGGCCAGAACCAGTCTCGTGACTGCTATTAGTTCCTGATTTTTACTACTGTATTCATTAATAATTTCTCTAACCATTGTCTTTCTCAAAAATACTATTAATATTTATTTAGTCTTTTGTTATAAAATTAAAATATCTATTCTGACTGTTCTTTAGACATGACTTTTCAATATACCTACAATATTGTATTTACCTAAGCATGATTATGTATAAGTATACTTACTATACATAAGATATACTTGAAACCTTATTTTTAATTACTTTTAGATATGAAATATGTAAATGAGATGAAAATGTGCCGAATAAACTGAAATGACCAAAAAAAAGTGAAAACATAATTCATGATCATATCTAACTTTAAAATTTTGCCCTAAACATTTTTAGGGTGGCAAAAATTCTCAATTGTCTTAGATGGTCTTACCATGCACATCGTTGCAGCAACTGTGCTAGCATTAAGTATACTACCCACAACTCTCTGGTTCATAGAAGCACTGACATCAATAGCCAGCAAAAAACGCTTTCCAGCTGGCTCAACTGTCTAAAGAGAAAACAAAGTAAAACAGTCATTAAAAGCAATCAGAAATTACAGGTAGATTAAATTTCTAACAAACCATATTTACTTATCTTTCATTCAAAAGACTAAGATAAAAGGCCTGATTTTTGACTTACTAATAAATTGACAAGCATTTAGAAACATTTAGCTTTTACTAGAGGTAAAACAAAGGAAATAAGATAGCCTATTTAATGATTTTATTTAAAGAAATTACCATTTTCCTGTTTTTAAAAATCATTCCTCATTAAGTAAACTGAATTTCTAGCAAGAACATTTTTTTGTGGTAAACACAAAATTTGTTTTAATAATTAAGTGTATAGTTCAGTGGCATTAAGTACAATCAATGTTATGTAACTATCTATTTCAGAAGTTTTTCAGCATCCTGAGTACTACCTCTGTACCCAGTAATTTAATAGCTCTCCGTTTCCGCCGCCCTCCAGCCCATGGTAACTTCTATTTTCACTTTCTGTATCTGTTCTGGATACCTCATGTGAGTGGAACCATGCAATACTTGTTTAGTGTCTGGTGTTTGTCTTTTAGCACAATCTTTTCAAGGTTCATCCACATTGAAGCATGTTCAACTTCCATTTCTTTGTAAAGATGAATACTCCATTGTATGTATGTACTATATTTTGTTTATTCATTCATCTGTTAATGAACACTTGAACTGTTTCTACCGCTGGTTACTGTAAATAATGCCTGTGAATATTCACGTACAAGCATCTTGTTTTTAATTCTTTTGGGTATACACATAGACAGTGGAACTGCTGGATGGAATGGTAATCCTATGTTTAACTTTTTGAGAAACAACTGGACCCTCTTCCACAGGGGCTGCGCCATTTTACATTCTTACCAGTAATACACTAGGGTTTCAATTTCTTCTACCCTTGCAAATGCTTGTTATATTTCTGCTTTTTTTGATAAGAGCCAACTAGGTGTGAATTATTATCTCATGGTTTTGATTTGCAGTTCCCTGGTGACTAGTGATGTTGAGCATCCTTTCATGTACTTATTATTGCCATTTGTATACATCTTCTTTGAAGAAATGTCTATTTAAGTACTTTGGCCATTTTTGAACTGGGTTGTTTGCATTTTTACTGTTTAGTTGTATGAATTCTTCATATATATTCTAAACATTAAAAGACTATCAGATGTGTGATCTGTAAATATTTTCTCCTATTTTGTAGGTAATCTTTTCATTCTCTTGATAGTGCCCTCTGATGTGTAAAATATTTACATTTTGATGAAGTCTTATTTATTTTTTATTTTCTTGCCTGTGCTTTTGGTATCCTATCTAAGAATCTACTGCCAAATCTAACCTCATGAAGCTTTTACTCTGCTTTTTCCTAAGAGTTTATAGTTTTAGCTCTGAAATATGTCAATGATCCATGTTGATTAATTTTTCTGTATGGTGTAATGTTAAAATCCTTCTTTTCTATGTGGATATCCAGTTTTCCTAACACTATCTGTTGAAGACTATTTTCTGTATTGAACTAAATCAACTGACTATACATGTATTTTTAAGTTCTGTATTCCATTGGTCTAAATGTCTGACATTTTGCTAGCACTATACTGTTTTGATTATGATAGCTTTTAAGTTTTGAAATGTCTAAGTTTGGAAGTGTGAGTCTTCCAACTTTGTTCTTCTTCAAGACTTGCTTTACAATTTGGGAGTCCCTTAAGAGTCTACATAAATTTTAGAATGGGTTTTTCTATTTCTGCAAAACATGTCAAAAGGATGGCATTAAATAGATCGCTTTATATAGTATTGTCATCTTAGTAATATTAAGTGTTCCAAACTGTGTCTTCCCATTTATTTACATCCAAAGTTTTTCCAGCAGTTTTTTGTAGTTTTTGGTGTACAAGTGTTCAACCTCCAAAGTTAATTTATTTCTAAAGTTTTTATTCTTTTTGATGGTAATTGTAAATGGAAATTTTTTCTTAGCTTTTGGATTGTTTGTTCATTGCTAATATACTGAAATAATAATTTTAGCCCGTTGACTTTATACCACCCTGCAACTTTGCTGTATTTGTTAGTTCTTATTTTTTTTGTGGATTTTTCAGGATTTTCTACTGTAAGATGTCAGCTGAGAACAGAGGTAATTTTTTTTTCCTTTCCAATTTGGATGTTTTTCTTTTTCTTTGCATCACTCCTAGAACTTCCACTAGTAGGTGGCATCGAAGTGGAAACAGTAGGTATTCCTACTAAGATCTCATTTCTGATCTTAGGAGAAGAAACTTCAATCTTTCACCAACTAGTATAATAGTTGTGGATTTTTTATATATAGCCTTTACCAGGCTTAGGAAGTTTACTTCTGTTCCTAGTTTATTGTTATTATCATGAGAGGATATTTTGTCAATGCCTTTTCTGCATTAAGATGATCATGTGGCTATCCATTCATTCTATGAATATGATATATTACATTGGCTGATTTTGTTTAATGAACCATCCTTGCATGTTGAGGATGTCTCATTTGTATAATCCCTTTAATGTGCTGCTTAATGTGGTTTAGTATTTTGCTAATAGCAAAACTATTTTAAAACCAAAAATTTAAACTTTTGATTCTGATATAGTTCCATTCCTAAAAATGACTTTTTATCAGGACAGAGGAGGTCCACTACTGATTACTGTGAAAAACAGAACAGAGGACCAAGCCAAACGACTCCCCAGGAATGCAAAACTTTAAATTTGGTAGTTTGGAATTTATCAAACCATCTTAATTGGCTGTTGCCCAAAATGAGAAATACTTTACACATAAACTTACTATGTAAATTATATACCCAACTTCACAAGAATGAAGGAAAAACAAATGAGTATCTAATAAAAAATGGTTAAACTATTAACATCATCTTTAAAATGTACTTTTACGAATGATACTAAGTCCTAACTGGTCATTTGCTTTAAAACAAAAATCAAACCATTACCTTAAATGTTTTATAAAAAGCAGCATCCAATGCTTTCAAAATTTCTTCATCAGGGCACCACTTCAGTTTTCCTCTGAGCCCATGACCTGTTTTATATGTTTCTAATGCAATTAAAACATGAAATGGATGTATACGAGCCTAGAAACAAGACAAAGACAGAAAGTAAATGTAAAATTCAAATGAACACTAGTAATTATATGTCTCATATTTTTGTTATTGCAGCTAATATATTTCATAAAGGAAAGAGAAAAATGACATATTAACCTTAGATTTCACAGTCAAAATACAATTTGGTATGATTAAAAGTCTTATACCACCTAAAAGTACATGGACTACAATTCCAAAATTTAGGAGCCAACTTTACTAGTAGCTAGTGAAGGTAATGCTTACCTTTTTTAAAAGTTTTTCATTACACAATTTTTCACATACTAAAGATACTTCTGAATTTCCTGGTTCAAGCACTGAAATAGCAGTCATCTTTCCTAGATTCCTTAGTAATGCAGTAAGAGGCATTTCTTGTAACAAAGCCTTCCATACCTATTGCAATAACATAGGTAGAAATATAAGGAATTAAAGGGCAATGAATTAGTATAACATAGCTATAGCTGTGTCAATCATAGTATTAATATGTTCTCTAAGGTGTTCTTTTACAGTTCAGAGAATTTTCTAAGTAAATATTTCTGTGACTTAGTTAAAGGCTTATTATCAAATTAATTTGTTTACCAGAGTAAGAAAATATATTTAATGAAGGAACCACACAGAACAGTTTATGTTTTTTTAATTAGCAAGGAAAATTAACCAGCGTATTACCTGAAGTGGAACTGACACACTGAATGCCAACTACATTTAGGCATTGTGTTAAATTTTAACATAAAATACATGACATATTTTAAATTATTGTTGAAACAAATGTATAGTTATCCAAAGTTTATCCTTTCAATACATGTTAATCACTCATGTTCAATCACATGCTGTATGTAACATAATTTACTTACCTCTTTAGACTTTAAGTGATTTGTTAGAAGATGTTCCCTAACTAATCTATGCTCTTCTATTAGATGAATGACTTCCAGTTCATCTTTTGTACGCTTCACTTTTTCTACAGCCTCCAGATACTTCAATAACTTTTCAGTCTCCACAGAAAGTGCCTTTTCTTTATACAATTCATTGACTTCTTTCCAGCCCTTTGTAATATATTTGGTCACAACAGCAAGTCCTTTAACAAAATAAAAAATTGAAAAGGCATAAAAAAAGGCATGTAGGATTACCAGGTGAAAAACAGAACATGTTTATGAAGAATGCATTGTTATTGGCATAGTAGATACACAGGAGCTAACTCTTCAAAACTGTAATGTTCCCTTCCCTGCTACAACAAACACATTTAAGCAAAGCAAATGGAGTCAACTGATTTTGCTTACTCCATTGTAACTGTTTCAATATGAGACGTTGGAGAAAAAAACTCCTATAGCCTACGTCATTTTATTATAGAGCTTTTTTTAAAAAAAAACTTATCGGAGGTCTGCAATCTCAGTGCAACTGGAAGTACAGACATCAATTAATTACATATTCACCTGTCCCTTTCAGCTGCTAAATAAAATGCTCTATGAATAGCACAGTAAGTGGAAGTGAAGAGGTAACCTGCAATTTTTTTTAATAGCTGAAAAAGTATTACAGGTCAAATTTAGAAAAGGAAATAATGTGTTCATTTCTTCTCTAATTTCTTTTAATAGTTAAAAGAGCTTTGGACTGGAGGCTGAAGAAATTTGGGTTGTAGCCTGTACTCTGCCTGCCGATAAGTGATCGTGTGATTGTTCTAGCCCTTAGTTTACACTTCTGTAAAAGGAAGAGACTGAGTTGTCAAATTCAAAGGTCTACAGAGGAAAGATAGGCAAATGGCAAATAAGTAAATGAAACGGGCCATGTGATGTAAAAGAGCGCTTAGGACTGTGGTGAACTGAAGAGAATAGGCCCTGCCAAATGTAGTGAGATATTGACTTAAGTGTTATAAAACAAATGTACTTCAAAAGACAAAATAAGATTTTTTTGTTTCTGCATTGTTTGCTGTGATATATATATATTTTTAATTGAAGTATCATTGCTATACAATCTTACATTGGTTTCAAATAAACAACACAGTGGTTCAACAGTTACCCATATTATCAAATCCTCACCCACTACAGGGCAGACACTATAGATCAACTTAGTTAAGATGTTACAGAATCATCAACTGCCTTCTCCGTGCTGTACTACTGTCCCGTGACCAACCTATATTGTGATCACAAATTACTGTGCCCCTTAATCCCCTTTCCCCTCTCCCCCAACCATCCCAACTCCTCTCCCTTGGAATCACTAGTCCCTTCTCAGTGTCTATTATGAGTCTACTGCTACAAAATACAAATTTTTATGTGATGCCTTTTGACTTTTTAAATGTGATGTTAACAAAGAATTCATTTTTCCCCTAAAATATTGTATAGGCCAAATAAAATGCATCTCTAAGACAGATTCTGAATTCTAAATAATCTAATCAAAAGTTAATACTTATATGTAAGTATTATGACCCTTGGTTATCTTCCAGATTTCAGTACAAAATCTTACATTGTCTTAAATGATTACATGTCTCATGTGAGCATGTCTTTTTGTCTTTTCAACTAAAATAAAACTTCCTTAAAGGCAGTTTTATTATTTTTATCCTACCCAAATACAATGTGCTGACCACAATAGTAAATACCTGACTAACTGAATTGCATTTTGACTTGTTTTATCTGTTTTAATTCATTTTCAATTAAGGTATAAAATAATACTTATTTGATAGCTTAGAGTGTTTCCACGTTCTTTTCACTTGGAGAAGTCTAGGTAGACATATTGCTATTATTACAAGGTTTCAAGTATGAGTCCTGCTCTCAAAAAGTTTAGACTTAACGAATCCTATGTGTGAGTATAAGTTTGGGAAATATCTACCAATTCTTCATTTTATAGACCAAGATTCAAAACCCAGAATACCTATTTGCACAAACTCAGTAACTATTTTTTTCTACTACAACTAGTATTTAAGTACACACCAAGATTGTACTGCTGGATAAACAAATAAATAAAACCAGATCCCTCCATTCTTCCTGTCCTGGATCAATGACTTAAAAAAAAAAATTAAACCATAAGTTTACATGGTTTACATAAGTTTAATTAAACCATGTTAGGGAAAAAAACCCACAGGTAATGATTTTTGTGAAAAAGACCTTTCTATAGCTAACATAAAACAAAAACCATAAACCAAATGAAAATATAGATACGTTTGATTACATTAAAATTCTGAATTTCAGTGTGCCAGAAAACACCCCCCACATAAAACAAACTGAAAGACAAAAAAAATGGGGGAGAAATATATGTAATAAATTATTAATTCTTATATAAATGTATCCTAGTTTCTCAGAACAGTGCCCATCCATGGTAGGTCCTCAAATAAACATTTGCTAAATGAATAGTGACTACAATCAAATATTAAAGAGAACAGCAACTCAATGGGTAAAAGGGCAAAAAATCAATGTAATCCATAAACATACAAATAACCAGTGGTACATGAAAAGATGAGCTTTTCCCCAAAAATACAAATTCAGGTAACAAGATAAAATTTTTGACTTGATTTTTGTGGATGTTCACACATCTGACTGGAATTTTTTTGTTATTTCCCTTCTAATGAGGACTAAGGAATTATTGCTGATCCAACTGACATAACTTCTCATAAGTCTCTTCCCATAGACACAGAAAAACTGCTCTGTTACCATGTCCCCTGGATGCCCCTGGATGGCTGACTGGAGACTATTAAGATCCTGAACTGTTAAGTTCAGCACTACTTCAGGTAGCCTTTAGGTTCCATGGAACCTAGGGAGACAGAGGGGAACAAATGATAAGGGGCTAGAGCAGTACAGCCTGGCTATCTGCTGTCTACTGGCTAGTTGTTTTGCTTATTCAAGTTTAATACTTTCTGTGCCGTTTTCATAGTCCATAATCACCCAGGTGAGCATCTAGTTAGTATGGTGACATTTTAAAATTTAGAATAATCTATAAATCTGTCAGTTGACTATTGATAATTAATGTCTAGACTGCCTGTAGTAGGTATTTTAATTCAAGGCTGGCATTAAACATATTTGGATTAATGTGTTTTGAGAATGAAAGGCTTTTTCTAGAAAATACAATTGTCTTACATCAAATAGAAATTTGCTATTTATTGCTTATCTGCAGCCCCAACCCCTGCAAGATCTCATGCTTACCTTCACTGGAAGGTTTAAGATGTGACAATCGTAACAGATCTTTGTGAGACCAGCCATTCCTCTGTTTATACTTTGTTACTGCCAGAGCAAGGGCCATGCCCCCTTTCTCATTGTACCAGTCTGCTATGGCCTTTCGAAGAGCACGCCCCCACATGCCACACTTCATGCTTTCCTTCAGGTCCTTCTTAAACTGGATAAAAGTAAAGAGATGCGTAGGAATGCGACAAACTTCAGCAACAGCTTTAAATGCTGCTTGTTTTGTGCTTATGTCAGAACACTGGGAACAAATGGCTAGTGCAAAAAGCATAGGCTCTTGCTTCACGGTTCTGCCTTCTTGACTAAATGACTTTATTTCCTGTATCACTTCACACCCTCTGCCTTCTTCAATCAATCTAATTAAAGCTTCAGCATTTTCAAGGCCCAATTTCTGTTCTTTGATATAATAAGTTCCACCTTCAGAACCAAAACACAAGAACCGGTGTAGTCGATTCATGTCAGTAACTTGCCAAACAAATCCATCTTCAGAATTGGCTATCTGCTTCTCATTCAGTGGTTGCATTTGGTTTACTGATTCTTCCATTTTTCTGTCTTTTAGGAAACCTATCAAAAAGCAAAATGTTATGCAGCTAAACAGTAAAATTATAAAAAGGAAAACAATATTTATTTAACTATGCTTACTGAAATCTGCCTTAAAATCTTTTAATATTTTTTAAGCTCAGTAAGTGGTGGTATGATAATCAAAATCAACAACTAGAAGTTCATTTTTGAGGTACATTTTTTTTTTTGCTTCAGAGATTAAGTAGGCAATTCAGCATGGAGTCTGGGGGCTCAGAGAAGAGGACAGAATGGGTAGAGAGGGCAGAAGAAGTAGCTGACTCTAAGGAAGATCTTATTCCCTTCACTCTCAGAGTAACTTTGTAGACATTTTTGGTTGCGTATCCAGCACCCATTCCTTCCCTCCCCTTTTCTTTTATCCTCTTCTTGGCAGTAATATCCTTCAGAGGAGGCAAGGCCTTTCCCCGGTCCCAAGGGATGAATTTTGATTGTTCTAAGCCAGTGGTTCTCAAACTCTGTGCATCAAAATTATTTGAAGTGCTACTTAAATCATAGAATGGTGGGCTCCCCCTGCCAAAAACCTTCTTTCTTGAATATGTCTGGTGTGCGGCTTAAGCATCTGTACTGAAGTTTCCAGGTGATGCTCTCATTCCTCTAGCCATGTGACTTGTATAGGCAGTGGGCTTGTATCACATCTCTGTCCAATGTGACATGGTAAGTCGGCTGGGAATACTTCTGATGTTTTCCTTCACTCTTAAAAGGGGGCTTGGGCTCGTAAAAAGGAATGTTCCCATTTCTGCCATGAAACATTCATTTGTAGGTGACGTGTGAAGTGACGGCAGACACTCTGAGCCACACTTTATAAAAAAGTGGCAGAATGGGGAAAAAAATTTAAGAAAAAAAGCAGGAATCTAAGTCCTTGATATCATCAAGCAACCTGGAGCTGCCCTACAACAAAAATTTAACCAGTATTTACTGCATACCATGTAAGACACAAAGGAGCCATTTCATTTAAAAAGGTAATTTTTTCCCTGCCTCTTGAAAAACCACCTTTTATTTGGTGATGTGGAAATACATGCATTATAAAGCAGACTGTAATTAAGTGCTCTAGTAGAAAAGTACCATGAGACAGAAGGGATTAAAGATGGCAGTGTGAGAGGTGAGACAGAGGCTTCCTCCTAAAACCACATGTAATATGAAAATATAATTAATACAACTAATCCTGAAAGAACAGGAAAGAGGACTGTGCCAGACTGCATATACCTGGAGAAAAGAGCAGACCTCACGGAACAGGGTAACGTACTAAAGCTGTGGCCCAGGCAGGACCCAAGCTCTTCTCCCACCACAGCTCACTGGCAGGAGGAAGAGAAAGGGAGTTGGGAGGGACTGGAGGCCTGGGATTGCTGAATACCTAACTCCAGAGATCTGTTCTGGGAGCACAAACCTACATTTCATGGTGCCTGCATGATACTCTTGTGATTTGGGGGCTGGAAAGCTAATACAGGCAGAATTCCTGGAGAGACTGAGATTCCAGCTGCTTGTGAAAAGCAGGGATCCATATCCAGCTGCTCTGGGACAAAAGAAAGGCAGGCAGTCTGAGAGACTTCCTAACAAGGAAGCCCTTAGCAAGAGGGCTGCTAAAGGGGCAAGGATTGCACAGAGCTTACTGCTCAGGAAAAAGGACAGGTAGACAAAATTGTCTGGGTGCACTCTGCCCAGCAGGTTGGGAGCTTTCACAATCTTCAGGTGCTCCAGCTCCCTGGCTGCCTACACAGCTCCAAGGACCCCTTCATGATAGGCAACCTAATGCGCCTTTCTCCCGGCCAGCCCCACCCAGCTCGCAAACTGGCAAACCCCACCCTGGCATTAGGCCAGCCAGAGGGAAGATCTGTCTACAGCAACTACGAACCCAGAGCATAGAGTCTTATACCTGTGTGCTCAGCCCACTGGTTCAAGCAGTGGAGACAGGCATAGCAGCCGGGAAGCAGGAAACAGCTCTTTCCTCCCCCCAGACACCAATACAACTCCCCTGCAACCCCTGACATTGCTTCAGGGACAGGGCAGCTCCAGGGAGTAAAACTTCTGGGCACTAGAGGGCACCATATACAAATATGAAATGCCAAAGGAACTTGGTTCAGAGTAAAATTATTAATATAACTCCTGAGGAAGATTTAAATGACATAGACCTCATGACTCTTCATGAAAGGGAGTTCAAAATAAAAATCATTAACATGCTCATGGAGGTACAGAAAGATAGTCAATAACTCAGGAATGAATTCTGGTCGGATATCCACTCGTAAAGAGCACAATGGAGGGTATTAAAAGCAGACTGGATACAGTGGAGGAGACGATAAACCAAATAGAAACTAGAGAAGAGGAATACAAAGAAGCTGAGGCACAGAGAGAAAAAAGGATCTCTAGGAATGAAAGAATACTGAGAGAACTGTGTGACCAATCCAAATGGAACGATATTCACATTATAGGCGTACCAGAAGAAGAGAGAGAAAGAAAAGGGAAGAAAGTGTCTTTGAGGAGGTAATTGCTGAAAACTTCCCCAATCTGGGGAAGATAGTCTTACAGACCATGGAGGTGCACAGATCTCCCAACACAGGGGACCCAAGGAAGATAACAGCAAGACATATAGTAATTAAAATGGCAAAGATCAAGGATAAGGACAGACTCCTAAAAGCAGCCTGAGAGAGAAATAAGATCACATACAAAGGAAAGCCCAACAGGCTAACAACATCAGACTTCTCAGCAGAAACAACCTTACAGGCCAGAAGGGAGTGGCATGATGTATTTCATGCAATGAAGCAGAAGGGCCTTGAACCAAGATTACTTTATCCAACAAGATTATCATTTAAATTTGAAGGAGGGATTAAACAATTTCCAGATAAGCAAAAGCTGAGAGAATTTACCTCCCACAAACCATCTCTACAGTCTATTTTGGAGAGATTGCTATAGATGGAAGTATTCCTAAATTTTAATAGCTGTCACTAGAGGTAATAAAACCACAGTAAAGAAAGTAGAACAGCTAATTACTAAGTGTTAGGCTGGAGGAAGGAATAACAAGGACATGCAAACAGAACAGAGAGATACCATAAAAGAAGAAAAGACCAGACCCCAAGGTCTGTGCCTTATATGGAAAGGGGACAGCTCTTCCTGAATTCCATCCTTCTGATGTGCCAACTAAGACCCAGATGTCAGCCTCCTCCCTCTTGGAAGGAAAAAAAGTTTCTAGTTGTCTATTATGTCACCTTTAGCTAATCATACCTCTCCACGCCCCCTAGGATAGCTTGCCCACTCCTTCCCCTCCTAACCCCTTATAAGGGTGTGACTTCCCTGGCCTGTGTTTCAGACCACGGAACATCACCCGGGAATTGCGCTCAAATAAACTGCCTGGTCCTTTGTTGCCTCTTGTCGCCTGCTTATTTCGGCTAGAATTTATCTTACACTAAGCAAATGCAAAATTAAATGAACTATCCCCAAAGTCAATCAAGGGATAGACAAAGAATACAGAATATGATAACTAATATATAAAGAATGGAGGAGGAAGAAAAAGTAGGAAAAAAAGAAAAGAACCTTTAGACTGTGTTTGTAAGAGCATAGTAAGTTAAGTTAGACTCTTAGATAGTAAGGAAGTTAACCTTGAACCTTTGGTAACCACAAATCTAAAGCCTGCAATGGCAATAAATACGTACATATCGATAATCCTAAATTATTTAAGTGGTCTGAATGCACCAATCAAAAGACACAGAGTCACTGAATGGATAAAAAAACAAGACCCATCTATATGCTGCCTACAAGAGACTTACTTTAAACCCAAAGACATACACAGACTAAAAGTGAAGGGATTGAAAAAGATATTTCATGCAACTAATAGGGAGAAAAAAACAGGAGCTGCAGTACTTGTATCAGACAAAATAGACTTCAAAACAAAGTCACAAGAGACAAAGAAAGTCACAAGAGACAAAGAAGGACTTTACATAATGATAAAAGGGTCAATTCAACAAGAAGACATAAACATTACAAATATCTATGCATCCAACACAGGAGCACCTACATATGTGAAACAAATACTAACAGAATTAAAAGGGGAAATAGAATGTAATGCATTTATTCTAGGAGACTTCAACACTCCACTCACTCTGAAGGACAGATGAACCAGAAAGAAAATAAGTAAGGAGACAGAGGCACTGAACAACACATTGGAACAGATGGACAAAACAGACATCTACAGAACTCTACATCCAAAAAACAGCAGACTACACATTCTTCCCAAGTACACATGGAACATTTTCAAGACCAGATAATATACTAGGCCAAAAAAAGCCTCAGTAAATTAAAAAAGATTGAAATTGTACCAACCACTTTCTCAGATCACAAAGGTATGAAACTAGAAATAAGCTAAGCAAAGAAAATGAAAAATCCCACAAACACATGGTGGTTTCACAACATGCTCCTAAATAACCAATGGATCAATGACCAAATAAAAACAGAGATCAAGCAATATATAGAGACAAATGACAACAATAATTCAACACCACAAATCCTGTAGGATGCAGTGAAGGCCGTGCTGAGAGGAAAGTATACTGCAATACAGGCGTACCTCAGGAAAGAAGAACAATCCCATATGAACAGTCTAAACTCACAATTAACGAAGTAGAAAAAGAACAAATGAGACCCAAAGTCAGTAGAAGGGATATAATAAAAATTAGAGCAGAAATATGTAAAATTGAGAAGAGTAAAACAATAGAAATAAATCAATGAAAGCAAGAGCTGGTTCTTTGAGAAAATAAACAAAATAGATAACCCCCTAGCCAGACTTAACAAGAAAAAGAGAGTCTACTCACATAAACAGAATCAGAAATGAGAAAGGAAAAATCACTACTGACACCACAGAAATACAAAGAATTATTAGAGAATCCTATGAAAAATTACATGTTAACAAATGGGATAACCTAGAAGAAACAGACATATTTCTAGAAAAATACAACCTTCCAAGGCTGACCCAGAAAGAAACAGAAAATCTGAACAGAACAATC